ATCTTGACAGTATGAATGACTGTCTGGTTTTTTATTAAATTCATCATTTAAATAGTAAAAGTGATTTTACATGCAGCGTGTTTGAGGCGAGGAGTTCTGGAGAAGGGAGATGATAAAAGCTACATTCACCCAAACACCAGGTTTGCTTGTGCTTTCTTGCACTGAATGTTTTGCAGCTGGCATCCATTCTGAATTTGCACATTTGATATTGCATTTTCTGAGACCCATCATATAGATTGATATGTGATTTGGGGTTGTGCAGAAACCAGCATGAAGTCTGTGGCTCACACTTCTCTAGCAATGCGAGCTCATGTTCTGCACCCAGATCAGCCTAAAGAGATCCCTGTGCACATCCCCCTTTTCTCAGGAGCTGGTCTCCAACCATCAACCTAAGGGCTAAACTGCATGATGTGCTAAAAATCGAGATTGGATCAATATGCAACAAAGACTAAAGACTAAAAGACTCTGGAGGAAAAATGAAGGTGAAGCTTGGCTTCATATCTCGTTGATGAGAGCCTTCAGGTGTCCAGGGAACTCCTGAATGTCCTGTCTCAAGGACAGTTATGCATTTTACATGCAACAACCACTGCACCAAGAAACCCCAAAGCCCTCAAACCAGGAATGTGTTTGCCCAGTCTAGCCTTCCATTTCAGAGAATAACACAGGCTAGGGCATTCTAACCTGCTGTCTGCATTGGGGATTTAGAAGAAACAGGTCAAGTGCTCGTGTTTTCCTAAGGTGAGTTTTCAGGTTACTTTAAATACAGAGAGTTAGACTGGTCAGATTCTCAGACAGCTTGAATCAGCTTAGCCCTTCTCTCCCTCAAGAACTACACACTAACTTGTTACATCAAAGATCTGCTTGAGTTTCTTGAGTCATTAAGACAATAAGTAAGTTTTCAAATTAATTCAAATGAAACATTGCCATAACAAGCATATGTCCTTTAGTTTTTAGAGTAAATAATTGTGCTCTTATTTTTGCAATTCCTGTTGAAAGTTCTCAGCTGAAAAATACCTCATGAATTAGTGGGATAAGAAGTTATGAGCATTTATACCTTCATGAGGAAATTTGATTCCAAAAAATGGCTTCAAGTGTTTCTCCATTATAAAAATAATAATAAACAGCATTGATCTAAAAGCTCAGCTGACACTTGTTCGCTCAAATTTTTGTAACCCAATGTGGCATGCTGGCAGGGAATTGGCAGGGAAATTAGCCACAGATGGTAGCCAGAACGTGGGGAATATATTTGATAGAACAGAATAATTGTGTAGCAATACCCTGGTGCCTCAGAAAGCAGCATCCAGTTGCATTTGACCAAGTAAGGCTCTCCCTGCATTACTAGCGATTTTCATAGGCCAAAACAAAGACTGTGATTTTAGCATCATAGGGAACATGGTGACTAAACAACTGCATCCTACATTCTCTACCAGAATAGCTCATAGCTTCACTGGGCAGCAGCAGGAGGGGCTGGATGGGCAAAGGCCTCAAAGCTTTTTCCCCTTCCACCATGCGATAATAAATAAATACAAGAACCACACAGAGTCCTAGTCTTCTCAATACACCTCTTGCTGGAGTGTTCCCAGAGGTCTGCTTTTGGAGATGGAAAATTAAAGAAGGCATTGAAATATCACAGAAATGCAACATTTGACTCAGAGAAATTCCTACTGCAGCTACACTCTGTACTGGTTGGCAATGGATGCGTGAAAGCACAGGTCAGAAATGTATAAAAAGAGAGACATGTGAGAGAGAACATATTGAGGTCTGTACGTATGTGTGTATAAATAATACTGCTATTCTAAGACATTTTCATCCCGGGATCATCAGGTTGGCCTGAGCGTCCAATCTTTAGGAGAAGAGTTTGCAGAAAACTAAATGCAAACCAAAAAGCCCAAGCGGGTCCAATAACTGGGTGTTGCACGATACCCTTCCTCCCCTAAAGTCAGCCAGAGAGTTTCTCACTACACTCTCTGCATTCTCACCTGCCCAGGGGTTTCCTTCAAAACTAGCTTTGCTTCTAAGCTGAGTGTCAGCTTCACCCCACCTGGTCAAGTGAGGGCAGCTGGGGAAAAGAGACCTCCTACATGTGGGACTCAAAGGAGAGCTTCAGCCTCTTTTCAGTTTATGGGCCAACTCCAGCAGCCAAGATGCTTGCATTCATGGGCACTGAAATGCAACTGGGCTTAGATGAATTCAGACAGGCAAATGAATTGGAGAGGTTAAGCTTTGATGCCAAAATTAACAGGTGAGTCTGTACAGGTAATAGTGCTGGGCTAGACTTTCCAAAGGCTGAAGTATTTCATTCCTATTGACTTTCTCTTTCAGGTGGGATCCTGGCTGCCCCAGGTGCTTTAAAGATCCCACTTTTTGTCTATTGAGCTGCAGAACAATGAAGATTGTGTCAAGGAGATAGTGTCAGGGTGACAAATGCTAGTGAAAATGATAACCACAAAAGTCAACAAGAATACAAACCCCAGGACCAGTGTTTGCTGCTTCTCATGGAAGAGAAAAGGAGGAAAAGACTCTGAGACAGAAGAAAAGAGAGGTAGAAGAGAGCATCAGCTCTGGACAGCCTCACCAACAAGCAGTACCACCTTCCTCCTCAGAACCAGAGACAAGACTTGAGCTCTCGTATCTCAGAGGAGACACTTGCTGTGTTCTGCCTCCTGGTTCTTCAAATGCCCAGGCAAGACCAAGAATGGTGGTCCCAACCTACGTGTTTCTCCAGCCTAAGCCTGATTTGGCACATACACGAAACATACTATACAGAGCAGCAGCATGGTTCCACATGAGGAGTAAGGCATGCACTGAAGTAATTTCTGGGAAGAGACATCACTGCTGAATCTTAAATCCAAAGTGAGACTGGAAGGAGAAGTAGTGTCTTTTACAGCTGGCCAAACAACTGGGGAACCATAGGAAACAGGCTAACTGTCAGGACACAAGCTCTTCTCCAGGGTATGAAGGGGAAGGTCAGGCCCTGGCAAAAGGCTTAGGTACCTGCAAGAGAATATCTCTTATTAGACCAAATGAATAAAAAAAGGCAATCCAACAGTTCTGATCTCTAAGTGTTAAATTGATATTAACTAATTTGATCTCTGATTCCCTCTTCAGGAACTCCTCTTTTGATGTCAATTCACAACTGCAAAAAAGCCATCGCTGTAAAGCTTTCAAAGGAATTGCATTCCCTTGTGGGCAGAAACCATGCTGAAAAACAAGATCTCTCTGCAGATAGTTGTGGCCAGCTGGGGCTATAAGCAACGTTCACAGGGCCAACTCGCTGCTTAGAGCCCATGCAGATTTTTTTCCCTAAACCTGTGAGAACAATTTGGCTGTTAAATATAATGTTAAATTTTATGCCCTAAAATGCTTACTATTTCAGAGATTTGTTATGACTTCAAACTCTGTTTCAACCAAATGCTTAAGCCAGTACTTAACTTTAAGCATCAAATAGTCCCCAGAAGACAGCAGTAAATCTGTGTGGTTGTGCTAGCCCCAGGCTTGAGCTCTGATGGGGTAGAAGCTTGCTGTCTTCTCTCCCCTCCTACCAGTTTACCAGGTGATATAGTTGTGCATGCTTTGCACTCACGTTCCAATAAATTAAGTCTAAAATAAAACACAACTGCCACAGGCAGTGTCAGTTCACTCCCAAAAAATCTTCTTCACCCTACACTTAACTGCTTCCTTAAGTTTTCTGATGAATTGGGCTCTTCTGTGTAATGTGTACCTGGGGATAACTGCCTAATTCCAGCACAACTTTACTTCCCTGCCATGCAAATCCCACATTCATCTCAGTGACTTTTCTTAATTATCGGATCTGCTTCTTGTCTTAACCACCCACCTCATGGTTGAAGCACTGGCCAAGCAAAACTGAAAACAACAACAAAGTCACTACAAGCTTTGTGAAAATAGCAGTTCTTCTCCCTTTTTACAGCAAAATTCATCAGCCCTGGAACTCCTGCCCATGAGTGGGAAGAATGGACCCATTCAACACTGAACTACCTAGAAAATAACTCAGCAGTTTGAGCTCCTTGTTATGTTTACAGACACACAAAGATACCTACAATGCAAATGTTTCAGTAATTTTGCATACCCTAGATGAAATAAATATCATGAGTAAATTCTAACACTCAAAACTGAATAATATGCAATGTTAAGGACCAAGTTACATTTATAAAAGCACAAGTATTGACACTATCTATTCAGCCTAATTTCTTAGTATGCAAGCATCAGCAGTTGCTAGCTACATTACACTTCAGGAGTCATAATAAATGTTGGTCATGCCAAAATCTAAGAATAAACAAAACCATAAATATTCTCCACCATCCTTCCAAATGATACACAGCTTTTGACAGATACTGTAATAATACAGTGGTTTAATGAAATTCATTAACGCTGTCTAATACTAAATATCAAGTCTGGAACACAGGTCTCTATGTTCTAAATGAAATCAAAATCAGAGCAGGAGCAACAGGTTTCAGCACTGTGTCCACACACAGCAAAAGCAGAGACAGCAAGAACCAGTACCTGGACCGGAGCTGCAACTGCCCAGAATAAAGTGAGAATAGGGGCAGCTTTACTGGCAAAAGGGAGAAGAGGAAAAGAAGAGGGAGTGGACACAGCCCCAGTTACAATTGTCATTGCAGAATAATTTGACACGCCAGCCTAGTGTCTGTAGCCTGGTCTTGCCAGCACAGTCCTCAAAAATGACCCCTTCCCCAAAAGCCAGTGACAGCACGTGGGAGCTCTGCTAGCAAGAGCAGGTTACAGATTGTGCCTGTGCAGGACAGAAAGTTTGCTGTGCCAGTAGAACGTGGGGCCATTCATTCTCTGTATCCTAATACAAGTATTTCTGCCAACAATTTCTCATGGAGGAAGCAGGTGATTCCCAAGTACCTCTCCATTCACAAGAGAAAAATTCTCACACACTCAATACCCTGACTCAACTTCAGTTCACGCTACTGAATAATAAAATCTAGATCCTGCCCTGGAAATTTGCTTACACTTTAGATCATGCCACTTTTTTCGTCTTGCAAAGAGGTTCGTGAAGAGGATCTTCCTAGCAACAGCTCCTTCTCATGGATCAGGCTATCTAGCAGGTCCTCCTGTCTGTAGTTGTGATAAACCTTCAGGAAAGCCAGAATGGTAATTCCCAGCCAAGTCAGCCAGGCAGCCCAGAGACCAAACTGAAAAAGAAAAGAAATTATAAAGAGGCCAGTACCGTTTTGTAAAAACAAAGTCAACTGTTCAGGTGAATATCAAAATTTCATACAGGTACTTGATTGTTGGCCTGCCAGTCTCAGAGCAGGCTCATTTGTACTACGGCTTTCTGGTAGAAATTCCATTTTAATTCTATGATGCCTTTAGCAAGGAAACATTAATTAAATCCCTGTATTTCAGTTTTGACATACTGCACTTTTAATTAAAAAAACCAACAATTTAAACACTTCCAGACAGTAATACAGCTGTTTACTCTAATAGCCAATTTAGATAAGCAAGGACTACTGCTTTCTAAAGGGAGTTTATGTTCCTATATATCTTAGGCACTTTGGAAATTCTCTTAAGTATTACTGTCCATACTTACAATTATCCTAGTTCACCAGTAAAGAATATTTTTGAATTATTCTAGAAACCTTGGAAATAAGAGATATTAATTTGGCTTTATATGACCATATTTAAAGAATGGGAAGTTTTGCATTAGTTTCTGAAGCACTCCTTAATTGATGAAATATTGTCTTCAAGGCATTCAGATATCTGTTACTGCTGTGATCTTCTCAGGATATTTGATACAAAAGAATTTACATGGATTTAGCCAAATTCAGTAAAACTCTCAGAGACATTCTGATGTATTGGAAGCATCTGAATGGAGGAAAGCGGACAGAGACAAGGTCTATGTACCCGTGTCTGTGTGTTTGTACACGCACATGTACATATGCCAAATATCCAAAGTTTTCATTAAGCTACCTGTTCTTCCCTTCCAGATTTTATCCAAAGCCTGTATTTGTAATTCTTAAATTGTCAGCAGCCTTGATATCTCCATTCAGACCACTGCTTCTAAGTAAATCTAACTGTAGGAAATTATTGCACTTATAAGGAAATGTTTGCTTTAGTCGGTAAGTCTGGTCTATTCTTGAGTTTTTCTTTCTACTGTTTCAGATAAACTTATTTGCCCTCCATAGACAGACCCCTTCTCATGCCTTCATACAACTCTGCTTACCACACCCCAGATATGAAAAGACAATGATGCAGGATTTTGTTCCCTGCTTGGTCCTTTCTTCAAACAGTCGTAATCAGGATTCACTTTGACACTACTGGGTTCAGCTTTTGAATGCAAACAGTGTTTCCCCAGAGCTGTTATGCTCCCAGGTTCCTTATACTTCACCTTGAAGATGAAGCACCTAGCTCTACCCAGGAACATCTGGAGGGATGTGGATCGATGTGGGGAGCCACATCCAATGGCTTGGGCTGATCCTTCTACGCTGTGATATGATGATAACTCTCCTCCAACTGACATGCTATGTGCATGGACCTTGACTTTTTAGGCACTGCCCCTGTTGGAGAAATGTCTTCTCCTGTATATAGATTATCAGCTGTTCACCCTGAGATCACAGGGTGAACATGGACAGTTAGTTCCCATGAACTCAAAGCTATAGACCGATAACAGGTTTACTTCTGCTCTCCTCCCATTAGCTGGTAGATCAGGAGCTAATGGCAAAATCTGCTACAAAATACAGGACAGCATCATACAAAGGAGTCACTTCTATGGCATATTTCCATCCTGCATATGGATACATCTGAGCTGGGTGTCTAGATGCCAGTGCTGGCAACAAAGACACAAACCTAGCTTGTGTCCAAGAGCCACAGTTACCTTCAAGGTGTGCCCCAGGTGAGCTAATGTCTTTTCCCATGCAGGACCACATGAGAAGCATGTGCATAGGTGCAGCCCTGCATGAATGGGGCTGTCCTCCTTGCAGGACTAATATGTGCTCATATGAGCAAGTGCTCACTGGCTTTGAGTGTTGACTTAGAGCTAGTATATTCAATAGAAAAGTCTCATTTTCAAAGACTCATCAGGAAAAACCCCTAATTAAATGACGGTAATCTTTCATTATTTTCAATGGTCTGATATTTATACAGGCTCAATGTATCTGAAGCAAACTCATGCAAGGCAAAGGTAATAGCCCCATGATCTGGTGCAGTTCAGACATTATTGTCAACAGCAATGAAAAGCTCCAGGACACTAGGGTTTTGCAACCTTTGCAGACCTCATCCTTTGGAGAAACAATAAATTTTCCATCATGAGTAACAAGATCAGTGGCAGAGTCAGGTTTTGACATGTCCGCATTCAAAACTATCTGTTCTGAATTTAAAATGCAAATGCATCACTATCATCCTGATTCAGCACTTGCTGAAGTCAGTGGAAATGTTCCCACTGATTTCAGGGGATAGCAGTTCAGCTCCAGCAATCCCCGATCAATGAGAAAATGTTAAATGAACTGGAATAGAAGCATGACCTAGTCTGACCTACCTGTGCAATAGCAAACTGGTCGTAGAAAGCTGAGTTTTCTAAGTTCAGTTCAAGATCTATATCCTGTAATTCTTCACAGCTACCCAAGGGAGGCATTTGGAGGGGAGAAAAAGATTATTTCAGAGAATCCAAACAGGCAAACCAAACATAAGAGCAAGCAACATCTTAAAGGTGTTTCAAACAGTCACAACAGCATCTTCTATCAAAAGATATTTAAGTTATTGCAGTAACCAGGTTGCTTGCAAATTTTCTCTAAAACTAGACTAAAAGAGGCACATAATTACTTCTTTAAAAAAGCCCAATGTATAATTATGTAAGCGATAACACCAATCATCCGCAAGTGGAACTGTAATAGTTATTATGAAAACAGTATACTTAAAACCCTCTTCTCCCACTACCCCCAAGCCTCCCACATGTATACATCTGGCATCAACCCAGCTTGGTTGCTTCACCCCTCAGCAAAAGAAAGTGTATGAGCCTCCGTTACCTTTTGATTTCATCAGGAAAAGCCTCAGAAGAAGGGATTGTGTGGGTGTTTTTGTTTCAGATGCTCCAGCAAGGAGACGATACTCTGATGGTAAGATAGAGGCTGCCTACAGATTTTTACAAATAACTTGGACTTTTATTGGTGTGAAAAAAATCCCAGGATTTTGAGGTTGTCTCTCTATCTCTTGGTTGATTTCTGCAGCCTCTTGTCTCTCCTTTTCAGTGCTGTCAGTCATCTTGGGTTCTTATCCGAATATTCGATTAGATGCTTTTTGTAATTGAATTTTTAACCGAATATTCGAATAATTCGATTAATCGTTGCAGCCCTAAACAGAACATTTACTATCGCATTTTGCAACATATGACAATGTGCAACATAAATGTATGCTTTAAGTAGTACATTTATTCAATATAATATGACATAAAATGTCACCTTTTCCTTTCTCTTCATTGTTTTTTGTTTGAGAGGAAAAAATCTACCTCAACTTATCATGCTTCTTCTAAGGACCATAAGCACCATGGGATACAGCAGCCCATTTTAGGAGCTGTACATTTTGTGCCCTGTAAGAAATTATCAACCATCTGTACTTACAAAGTACTTTCCATTCTGCAGCTCTCAGGACATCCACAGAGCCGCTATGAGGCCAGCATCATACACCAGTTATTAGACGATGGTGTGTTGAGGCACAGGCAGGATGAGTGACTTGCCCGCTGTCACACAATGGGTCGGTCATAGAGCCAGGACAGCGAGCCAGGGGCCCTGACTCCCAGTCCCCTACTCTCCTCACCAGACCACACTCCCTCCATTCTTACAGCACTTCCAGGTTTAGTTCTCCTTTTCCTTATGATCATGACTCTTATAGAGACCATGAAACACCATGAAAACCATGCTTTGCTTTATGAGGAACTAAATGCAAAGTTTTATTTGCAGTTTTTGTTCCAGATGCAAAAAAATCTGGATTTCCACAGTACAAGTGCCTTCTCCCTTTTGCTCACCTTGCATGTAATAACTACAATTTGTAACATCACTGTTCATTTGTGAATATATATATAAAAAAATGGAAAAAAATGTATTCTTCAATACTAACCTATTTGGCATGCTTCCTTTTTCGGTAATTGCATCACACCACATGTTAAATCCTACACTCACTATAGTGCTAGCAATAAATGTGATGAACACCACAAAGGCGCTGATCAGCAGATTCAGGAAGGCATAAAAGAAAGAGCTGCAATAAAAGGGAAGAAAAATGTAGCTCATAAACAGCTGAAACACAACATCAGCAGTCTCTCTAAGCAGCATACACTGGGCACAAAGATATCAGTTTCCATTTGAAACACATCTGCTTTAATTAGAACACCTAATACATGGAAAAACTACAGATTATGATTTCGAGTCACATTATGTTCATTTGTAAGTGCTTTTGATTTTGATTTTTTTTCACCATAAGAGGATGGGGTTTTAAATCATAGATGCTAAGTGGCGATTGTTCATACACAGCATGGCTTTCATTAGCTGTAATGATGAAAATCACCATTGTTAAAATAAATGTCATTAGTTCAAATTACATAGTAACTGGAGCTAAAATTATTTCATGACTAAAGTGATAATTGGGACAAAAATTGCCTAGGAGAGGGAAACTAAAAATAAAACAACACAGTACTGATAGCTATAATCATTTTAAGCAATGTAACACAAGGTACTGCCATCATAGGACACGAATCGCAGTTTTATGGGCAATTTGCAGAGCAGGCCAGCTTCTCCCGGGACTTCTCTGGCTTTGGTGTCAGTATGTTATTTCTGCCAGCTGAATCTCAACTTACCTCAGCCCTGTTAAGTCCTGCCAACCCAGCGGCAGCCCTAGGTGTGTGCTGTGTTTGGAGTGGTATGGGGTGGGATGCCTACAGCATTCCCCTGAGGCCAAGGAACTGTCCACTCATTTTCCAACCTCACTGCTTAATTCCCCCGTTAATTCTAGCCAGTGAAAACTTCCTAATCCTTTTCTCGTTCATCTGACCAAGTCCTTTGCTAATTGAAACTGCTCTAGGTGGCACTTGGAAAGTACAGTCATCCCATTCCAACACTGAGAGAAAATAAATTAAATAAACCACCTTTGAGAAGTGGCCTTACAGACTGCAGTGGGAGCTGAATGTCAGGACACTTGAATTCCAGATGAACGTTGAGATGAATCCTATTCCTCCCCTTTGGCTTCACAGGACTTGGTGGACTAGATCAGCTCACCTCCACAGAACGCCAGGCTCACCCAGGTGGCAGAGGCAGCTGATACAAGCACACCATGGGTTTGCACATTCACTGCCCCTGCCTTGATTTCACACCTCTCCTGGATTTCATCCCAAGTGCTGCTAAAGCCATATCCACTGGGTGCACCTTGCCATGGTGCGCTGGCCTGGGAGTCAGAAAAGACTTGAGCTATCCGCTGAATAAAAACAGAGCTGGCACCAGAATTAGGAACAGCTCTCCAAAAGGAACAGTTTGCAGGAGTATTCAGTGGATCATTGCCAGCCCAGGACCTCTAGTCCTCCCTCTACTTCCTATCCTGCGGCACAAGAGGTGCCAAGGTCTGGAGTCTGACCTGCCATTGACAAAGCAGGGTTTGAGTGTTGCATTCGATTTGCACTGGGCAATCAGTAACCAGCACAGTGTGGTGGAGGTTCCTCAGGCCAGGGCATCCTGGTAGGGAGCTGTGCTGTTGGCTCTCTGCCTCACCTGTTTTACTGCTTAGATCACAATCTCAAGCTATACATTGCAGATTGAGTGAATGCCCTGTAGTAATAAATGCTTACACTCAAAATAGAAGTCACTTCGCAATCCTAGTCATGAAGTATCTGTGTTGGAACTCCACCTTTCAGCTGAGATGAATAGTTCCAGGCCCAGAGCACTAGGACCAGCATTTGCTTTTCCTGCTCCTGCAGGCAACTCAAGCACATCAGGCAAGATGTGCTGAGACCCTCTTAAGGATTTTCAGTAGTCATAACTATCTGACAGCAGTCATTCTAAGCCAGTGCACACAAAGACTGGCCTCCCTGCTAGGTGTCACCCCAACTGCCTTGGGCCAGCTTACTCCAGAGCTGGACCAGCAGCAGGCATCCTAAAGGGACAATTTTCAGGCGCCTGCACAGCAGTATTGAACTAAATAGCTGCGTTTGGAAGCAGGCCAAACATCTGATCCAAATTTCATTATTACAAGGGTTTTACTGATGGTTTACTGCAAAAATTAACTAGTTCTGATCTGTAAAACTGAAAAAAAGCATCTAGATTTAATTAATCTTCTATAGGTATCTGGTCACCTAGGAATCTGAATTAAAATGTATTAAGAAGTCCATGGTTATATTTAGATCTTGTAAGGTAAGTTTTAATATAGAAATAAGTTTCTGGTCTATACTTACTATAGGATGTTTTAGTATTAGGCAGCTTGAGAGTGGTCAGAAAGAGGCAGAGAGACAACGCTGCTACCCAGTCCCTAATATTACCAACATCAGGGTGTTATACAATCCCAGATGTGAGTAACATCCACTGGCTCAAGAAATAGTCCAAACAGACCTGGACATGAGTGATTTACCCTTGGCATGTTCCCTAAACCAAGGGAAAATTACTTTCCTAGTCTAGCCAGCCCCCAGCATGTGCTCCTGCCTTCCCACTTCTGTGCAGCTGGATGCTTGGAAGGCCCTTGTCCCATACGACCCGCAGGTTGGGTTACCTGTGCCAAGGACCCTACACAAGGTGGTAGGACAGGCCACCAGAGAGGCAAGCACAGAGCACAGTGCTCCTGAGCTGCTGCCTGGCCTGCCAAGCACAGCAAACAGCTGCCAATGCAGCCCTGCAGCTGCTGTGGGGAGCCCTCAGCATCACTCTCCTGTCGTAACCAAGCAATAGTTGTTCTCTGCAATAGTTGCCATGTCCACCACAAAAGCAAGATAAAAATAGAGGGGCAACACCAACTGCTCCCTTCTGCCTGCCCCTTCCCCCTCACATGTTTTTTTAGGGTTTTCACACACCCAGTGTACAGCAGAGGAAGGCTCCCCTTTGGAGGGACATGTAGTGGGACCATGGTCAGGAGACACCTGCGAGTCCCACCCTCCAGCATCACCCCACAGCTCCCAGCACCCTCCATGCCCACCACACGGAGCTGGACAGATCCTGCTCCCAGACTGCCAAAGGGCAGCAGGCGCATAGAGGTGAATACAGCCCCCCACCCCAAACCTCTGCAGGGGAGCATCCTCTGGAGAGGGCTCTGGACACAGGTGGGGGTGAACGTGGTGTGTGTGTGGACAGATGCAGGCAATACACCACCTCCCCCCAAGCCCCTCCAGGGAGCAGGATGCTCTGGATGGTGCCAAGCCCAGTGCTTCACCCCCAGGCTGCTCCCTGTTACCCCAGCCTGCAGGAGGGGTGGGCATCCCCTGCCCTCCCCGGGGGGGTACTTACTCCTCGTGCCCTTTGCAGAGGAAGAAGAGGGTCCTCCAGGCCTGCACTGTGGCCAGCAGCAGGGAGAGGAGCC